AATGTAAGTGGTTTTTGATGTAACCAGAAGCCTTTGATATATTTAGAAAATCTTGCATGTCCTCTCATATTTTATGCTGGCTAATATATGGATAAAATAATTAGTTATAATATCATACTTTTATTGTGCTTTAAAACTGCCCTTCTGAAAGTCCCTCATTTATGCAGTGTCCCTGCTTTTGAATGCACCTGTGTTGCTCTTTATACTCACAGCGTAACCTGGGAGACATTCAAAGCCCCAAACTCAGCCTCTTGAACACATATTGCAGTTAAGAGCAGTGTGGCTGATGGCTAAGCCACGGCTAAGTCACTGGTTCCATTTATAAACTGGTCTTTTCTTCCTTTAGCATGGTCAGAGCCAAATTCTTTATTTTCATTTCCTTACACATTGGTGTGAAAGTCCATATGGTTCTATTGAAGTCAATGGAGTTATTTTGAACTTACACTGGTACGTCTGAGAGCAGGTTTTGGCCCTCAGTCTTGACTGAGATTTCACCTTACAAAAGCACCGTACTACAGCTGTGCAGAAAAATCCAACCCAAACCACAACTTCTGTAGTGATATCCATGTTATAAAAATAGTGTAGGTATTATTCCATTGCACTCCTCCATTAATATCAAAATCATATCCGAAACAGTATCTTCCCTCAGAAAGATTTTCAGGACTTAAGATACTTTATCTGACCTATCCCTCATCCTGGATTCTATCCTAAACTCTGGAATCAGTGCCTTTACTTTAACCCTTCTTTAACAGTTCCTGCTGTTACAACCAGAGGAGTTGCTATCTGAAACTTAAGAGCTCTGTTGGCTTTTGAGTGTTCACGTGGGGTTTTTTGCAACAAAATCAGTTGTTTTCAAATCTGCAGACTATAACTGCATGTGCTCAGGGAGCTTTCAAGTCTGCTGCATTGTAATGAATGTCTCCCAGGGCTATCGTGTCTTTCTGCCCTTTGAAACTGCCTGCTTTATTTTCCAACTTCAGCAGCCGGGCACCTGCTGCTCATTTTACCTTGGAGACCCATAGTGGAGTCTTCTAATGATACTCATGCATCTGTCCTGCACACTTTCTTACTTGAACATCTCTGTGCCTTCAATCAACCTGCCTGTGTGTCTTTTGTCTTTTTTTTTTATTAATAAGTGGAGACTTTGTGCTGTTGTGAGGCTTTATCTCACTAATTCCACCTGCTCTTCAGAGTTGTCCACAGAACAAAATAACAAATACCAGACAGAAAAGTCTACATGCTTTTAATATTCATTCTTCTAATCTTTTTTAAAAAATTTTTACAAAACCATCTCTTTTTAAATTGCCTTCAACATTTGTCCTTCTTAAGAGAAGACAAAAGGAGAAAGATGGAAATGATGAAGATATTACAGATTCCAGTGTGGTGACAACTACCCTCTTCATTTATTCATGTTGTTCTCTTCTCATTTATGCCCGTGTAAACCGAATGCAGTTTAGACTTAATCTAGACTTAATCTGCTGTAACTGCCCTTTGATTACCAACATTGTTAGAAATCATATCCGGCTTCTCTACTTCTTAATCTTGACTATGGCCACTGATTAATGACACTAAACCTTTACCTGATCCCTTGCTTTATTCTGATTGTGCAGGAAAGGTTGTAATGCACTTCTATGACAGGGTTCTACTGATTTTATATTATGTTAGAGGGCGTAATCCTGTAGTCCTTATTCAGTCAAAACTCAGCTTATGTCAGCTGGAATGTGGCCTGAATAAGATATGCTGGGTCAGGCTTCTGGACAATTCATCTCTCATCCCATCTACTTATAATATCATTGTGTTCAATTTCTTTTCCGCAGCTTAAAACTCCCACTTATGATTAAGATCTTCAACCAGCTTCCAACTTTGAAGGCTCAGATTTCCACTTACAAATCATTGTGCCCTCAATAGTTGCTCCTCCAAATGCTAGCATATAGATTTCTAATTGCCGCCTTTGCAGTTGCACCGAGGTGCATCGATAGCCCCATGCTATCATTTTCGCTCAGAATTAATAGGTGCAATTGTTTTGGGTTGCAAAGTTGTCTCTATGAAATTGGAATCTATTGGCTGAATGCCTTCAACTCACAATGAAGTTAAAGTGTAGCAGATTGTGCTCAGCACTTTGCAGGATCAGGCTCTAATTTTCTATATCCCTAACTGTATCCTCTAGTATTATGGATCAGATCCCACACTATCGCCAAGAAGCACACAATTAGTGTGTGTGTGTATGTGTGTAAAGGCAGCATAAAGTTTGACTTCGCATTCTCCTGATTCTAGCTATACTGTGTGCAGGGCCAGTTTCCAGCAGTTAGGGCATTTCAATGGCTGTTCTAAATTACACCAGCTGTAAATGGCCCTAATGGTCTAAAATGGCAGCCAGAGACTGGCAGAGCATAAGACCTGCTGGCCACATCTCTTTCCTCTGGCCATGCCTACTTCACCAGCAGCAGGGAAGAGGGATGACACAGGAGCTTCTACTTCATTAGAGGATCTCCCTTGCACTGGAATCATCCTCTCATGTTTGGTAATACTGGCTTTACAGGGCATGGGACAGAGAAGCTGCACCATGGGATCTGAACCTATATCTCATAAGAACGGCCATACTGGGTCAGACCAAAAGTCCATCTAGCCCAATATCCTGTCTTCTGACAGCAGTCAATGCCAGGTGCCCCAGAGGGAATAAACAGAACAGGTAATCATCAAGTGATCCATCCCCTGTTGCCCATTCCCAGCTTCTGGCAAATTTGTCTAGGAGTTTTCATCCATTTTCTGACCTTTACAGAGACACATTTATTATAGTCTCTCCTCTGACTTCCTCCTTAAAACTCCCTCAGGGAATGGATTTCAATAAAATGACTTTTCTTTCAGGTATTCCTTATTACTGTGCTTTCTTCTGTTTTTTTCAGCTTAATCTTTCAGTCTTGTGTTCATGCTTTATATATACAGGAGCATGCTTCCTTCATTTCCAGGGGAATAAAAGATAATACTTTACTCATTCTGTGGAGGACAGAAGTGAATTAAAAGGCAAACCTCTTCAGTGAATTTTGTCTTTGTGTATTTGATTGTGTTTCCTACCTAAGAGCTTTACTTTTCACTTTATTTAATTTCATATAGTTGAATTCAGACCAATTCTTCAGTTTGTCAAGGTCACTTTGAATTCTAATCCTGTCCTCCAAAGTGCTTGCAACCCCTCCCAACTTGGTGTCATCTGAAAATTTTATATGCATACTCTGCACTCTCTTATCCAAGTTATTAATGAAAATATTGAATAATGCTGGAACTGGAACCCTCCTGCAGGACCACACTTGATATGTCCTCCCAGCTGGTTTGACAGCAGATCATTGAGAACTACCCTTAGAGTACATTTTTTCAACCAGTTATGTACCCACTTATAGTAATTTAATCTAGACCATATTTCCCTAGTTTACTTATGAGAATGTCATGTTGGGTAGCCAGCTTTCTATTTGCAGAAAACCGAACACCCTTGCCCCATGTCCTGCCCCACCCCTTCTCTGAGGCCCCGCCCCGCTCACTCTATCCCCCCTCCCTCCATCACACACTCTCCCCCACCCTCGCTCACTCACTTATTTTCACTGGGCTGGGGCAGAGGGTTTGGGAGGGGGTATGGACTCTGGGCTGGGGGTGTGGGCTCTGGGGTGGGGCTGGAGATGTGTGGTTTGGGGTGCAGGAGAGGGCTCCAGGCTGGAGCCAAGGGGTTCAGAGTGTGGGAGAGGGCTTCAGGCTGGGGTAGAGGGTTGGGGTGTGGGAGGGGGTACAGGCTCCGGGCTGGGGGTGTGGGCTCTAGGTTGGGGCTGGGGCTGAGGGGTTTGGAATGCAGGAGGGTGCTCCAGGCTGGGGCAGGGGATTGGGATGTGGGGAGGGGTCTGGGGTGCAGGTTCCAGGCTCTGGGTGACACTTCCTCAGGTGGCTGCCAAGAAGCTGCCGACATTTCCCTCTGTCTCCTAGGTGGATGGGTGGCCAGGGGGCTCTGTGGACTGCTCCTGCCTGCAGGCACCTGGTCAGTGGGAGCTGTGGAGCTGGCGCTGGGGGCGCGGAGCAGCGCACAGAGCCCCCGTGGCCACTCCTAAGCCTAGGAACCAGAGGAAGATGCCAGCAGCTTTCTGGGAGCTGCCCAGAGGTGGGCAGGCAGCCTGCCTGTCCCACTGTGGGCAGCCAACTGGACTTTTAATGGCCCGGTCAATGGTGCTGACTGGAGCTGCCAGGGTCGAAACTGGACACCTGGCAAACCTAATGGCATGTGGTACTGTGTCAAAAGTATTACTAAAATCAAGATGTAACATGTCCACTGCTTTCCCCTGTCCACTAAACCAGTGACACTATCGAAGAAAAGAATTAAGTTGGTTTGGTATGATTTGTTCTTGACAAATCCACGCTGGCTATTACTTATCATTCTATTATCCTCTAGGTGCCTACAAATTGTTTAATAATTTATTCCAGTATCTTTCCAGGTATTGTTTGGCTGATAGACCTATGATTCCGTGGGTCATCTTTTGTTCTCCTCTTTTAAAGATATGGACTATGTTTGCCCTTCTCCATTCCTCTGGAACCTCGCCCATCCATGAGTTCTTAAATATAATCACTAATGATTCCAAGTTTGCTTCAACTATTTCCCTAAGTACCCAATGGTGAATTTCATCTGGCTCTACTGACTTGAATATGTCTAACGTATGTAAAATATTTTTAACCTCTTTTTCCCCCTCTGTTGTGATTCCTGTTCCTTCCTCCTTGTTAATGTTAATTGTGTTTAGCATCTGGTCATAACTGACTCTTTTAGTGAATACTAAAGCAATACAGCCATTAAACACCTTTGCGAGGTCATTCTTTAATACCTTTCCATCCCCATTATGTAGTGGACCCACATTTTCCTTCATCTTTCTCTTGCTCCTAATGTATTTATGGACCCTCTTCTTATTGCCTCTTATGTCTCTTGGTAGGTGTTGATGCAGCCCCTTACTATTCTTCCTGTTTTTCCTTCATGTCAGGATTATTGGGATGTAGCCATAGGAACTCTGGTGTTTCCTGTCTGATTGTACCATCCTGGTGCACATATAGGAGCATTTAAGAGACAAGAGTAAGTATTTTACAAATTTCATGGTCTTTAACCAGTGTACTAACTCCTCTAGGCCCCTCATGTGCTCAGGTATGCATTTCTTGCCAAGGAGAAGTTAAGCAGCATCAGTTCAGTGAAGCCCAACTTCTCCTTTTTAAGTTGCAATCTCAGGCTTTCCTTTTAAAAAACAAACACACACACACACACAAATAGGAAGTAAATACTGTAATAATCCTGAATTGACTCGTTGTTAAATTATCAAAAGCCAGGAAATGTGAAAGTTAAGACTTAGCACAGGGTTTCTCAAACTGGGGGTTGGGAACCCATGGGGGTCGTGAAGTTATTACATGGGGGGTCGCGAGCTGTCAGCCTCCACCCCAAACTCTGCTTTGCATCTATTGATGGTTACTGGGACCCACTAGGGCTCGTGCCTACAAGGCCTAGTTGCTGAAGCACCTTAAGTGCTTGCCTCTGAGATGTGGTACGCCTGGCACACTACAGGCACTGTAGAGGTTTGGAGTACAGAGTAACCCCAGTAATTGCACTATATGTCTAAGTATCAAGAATTCTAACAAACAGCAACCAAATACAGAGAGAGACAGCAGAATGGCACAACTCACCCACCTTGCAGACTGTCTCTTTTGCAGGCAGACTGCTGAAAACCCAGATCCCACCCTTCCCTTACTATTTTAAGTGATAGCTTCTAATTTTAACAGTTTTCAGTATACCACATAACTCTAGTAAGACTGATGCAGCCCATTCATCTTCTTGGACTTCTAGATGGCTTGATTGTGCGTTTTACTGTGGGCACGTCTTCTGGCTCTGATCTCACAAAACGAGGTCCGGCCCTACTCTGCATTGATGATCTAGTGGCATATTTCACAAAAGTAGAGTTTCCCCTGGTGCCCTGGGACAAAATTTTCCCTCCCTGACCCCTGTTGTTGAACATTATTCTGTACACTGGTTAGCTAATGCCTTCAACATCAAAAGTGACTGCATCACAGAGGAGCTGTATGTGATCCTTCAGGTGGTATAAAAATGTGCTAAGTATTGCTCTCATTATGGTACATGCCCCCTTATTTCTAACTATTCAGTAAATTATCTTTCTTCAATTAAGAACGGAGCAGCCAGCGTAGTTATAATTTGCGTATTGGCATTTTTGAGAGAACTTAATTATCTTAGACATGTAATGTTAAACATCACCTCCAAGCGTCCCTGATATAACACATCTGATGAAATGTGTCATTTAAAATAATATAATAAAAGCACAGGAGAAAAGGTGGTGAACAGGGAGAACTTGTGCAAACATCAAAAGTACCATATGTACCAGGCATTTCAAAAAGGATTTCCTGTGTACTTAAAAGTCACAATGATTTAACATGTCTTCCATATGCAAGCTCAAATCTATAAACTGATTAACTTGGGCTAAAGTTCTAGCTCTTTAAAAAAAAACCAAGTGTTTACAAAAAATAGAAGAAGAGTTCTTAGAACAGGCTTGTGAAATTTGGCTGCTAACAGTGCGGATAAAGGAATCTGGACATCAGCAAAAAATGTAAATTAAGAATCAGCTTTGGACTGAAACACTTAGAAATTATTATTCCATTTAGGGCACGAATTATACAGCAGCTTGATGCTATTACATGCTCAGTTTGAAGCTCTTCTATTGTAAATTACATGCATGTTATGGCATTACACACACACACACACACACTCCTATGTCCATCAGCCCTTTCAGTCTGAATTCCTATTCACACGGAATAATTTTTTGCAGAATTATTTTGAATGAATTACCACATGCATATTTTAGGCAGAACATCACCTTTTGGGATGAGAGAGAGTTTGTGCTATTGAGCTATATAATGAAAACTTAAATGTCGATTGTGATGTAGGATATGTACTATTTTCATATTTAGTTCACATATGCAAGTAATGGAATGAGACAGGTGTCTGCCAGAATTCAGTGCTCTAGCTTATTTGACTCTTTACTTCTCCTTTCAGACCACCTACAAAGGTGCCAATTAATAAAATTTCGAATGGTGATTTTTGGTGCTAAAATTAGACAAAATGATCTAAAACCATTCAATTCCTTTCAAAAAGTCACAAAAAACAGATATCTATTAACAGTAACTTTTTAAAATAGTTTCCACAAATGCATATGCATAGAAACTATTTTCTCATAACATTTTATCTTAGCAATGTTGAGTCACACCAAAACTGGAATGAGGCTGTTTTAATGTAATGGAGAAAATTAACATGGGGACCTATTGCAAATAAATGGGAGATTTATCAGCATTAAACTAGCATTATAATACAAAGAGTTAAAGTCCTTTACCAACATAAATATATCTGCTGATTTTTCAAAACTAAAAAAACCTTGCTCATATCTCTTAAATTGTCTGCCTCTTATTTACTCTTACGGGAGCTTGAGCGCCAGATAAAAATGTCTGATTGGCCGGGAGCAGCCCGCGGGCCGTAGTTTGCCCACCCCTGCTCTAAATCTTAGGTAAACCAAATTTGTGAATCATAGGGACAAAAATAGGTTATCGACAGAGATGACTCAAAGTGTGGCTCTGGAGCCAGATCTAGACCACCCCAAATTTTCTGGGTGTTTTATGTAAGGTTTTGATTTGATCACTTATAAAGATGGAGAAAGCTGCAAAATTTGCAGTTAGAGCAGTGTTTGGATTTCAAACATGTGCAAACTAGGAGTTGTTCAGAGCTGGAGATTTAGTTCTGGCCCATCTCTTTCTCAAGCATTTTGATTTTTAATCCAAGTGCTAGATCACTCTTTACATCATACCCAAAGATTGTACCTTGGTAGCATGTTAATTGTTTGTCTTCCACTTCTCTCAACACTGCAATATAGGCTACAATATATATCATTCATTTTTGCCAGGTTTCAATTCAATAATTTATGGGGGGAAATTAGTTTATTATTTTAGTGCTTAGAACATGAGACTAGGATCCAAGGAGTTTTAACCCCAGGTTTGCTGCTGGTTTGCTGTATTACCTTGAGCAAGTTATTTATCATCTCTGTGTTCTGGTTTCCCCATTTTACAAATGGGAACAATACCTTTGAACACTCAGAGGGATAGGATTATTTACTCAATCTTTATGCAACTCTCTAAACATGTAAAATGCTAAGTGTCATTAGCAGTTATTACTATTAAAGACCCATTGTTTCAAACCAGATGACTTTTCAGTTGATGTCTTTTCCATAGTCTAATTTGACTGGAGTTAAAAGATGTGTCCCACTTTTCTGCTTAAATGTTCCTATACACAGCTGTGAAACATTAGCAGATATAGATTACCCTGAGTCATCTTAAACTTAGAAGGGCTTTGACTTTATAAAGTGAGTGAAGTGCATTTACCTCATGGTCTGACCTTGAAGAAAACAAGAAGTTTGCAAAATTTTGGTGCATTACTCATATTCAGACTGTTTTAAGATCTGATGTTTGTGCCTAAACCTTTCATAAAAGGCTCCATATGTTCCAGAGTGAAATACTGTTATCATGTATGGAAAACCTGTCACATCGTTTAAAAAAAGGCATGATGCAGTTGGAGAGTAAAAGAGAAAATACATAATTCTATATGATCTGCTCTTTACTCTGTCTCTTCCAGTTCATTCCAGCCATAGGCTACAAATAACAGACCTTCAACTGTCTGCAACTGTCACTGATTTGTAACATTTGTTTTTAATCAAGATAAATTTGACTCTGATTTAAAGAGCATTCTAACCACTAACTCATGTATAAGTTCAGGGGGAGTGTTCAGGAAGGATGTTCTAGCTCTCCCCCAGGATAACAAGATGAATCTGTCACTGAGGAATTGCTTTAACTGGCACAGTGTAATTTCACTGAGAGATTATTTTGTTTGAAGCAGTACTCTGCAATTGGCATTTTTGGACTAGCTGAGCTAGTAAAGTCTCTGGGCTGGAGTCATTTGGATGGGGCAAATCACTACACAAGCATGGGTTTCACAAGCATGAAGGTTCACCCCTTTGGTAGCCCTACTGATCCACACTGAACTATGAAAAGGAAATGGCCTTCAGCTTGACAAAATCAAAAGACAGACTCATAAAGTGCAGTACCCCAGAGGCCACATGATGTACCCTAGTTATCCAGCTGGTTCCTGTGGAAGCATGCAGATAGGCTTTGCTTTAAAACCCAATTTATATCATAGCATTAACGCGAAAGCAGAGCAGGAAATTGTCTTCCTGTCCCATGAACATTTTTTAGATTTCAAAAATGTTTGTTCTGCATGGGAACAAAATTGAGACCGTTCAATTTTTTTCATGGAAAAACAAGAGAGACACACATATTCCACCCCACCCACCCCATAGCATAGTTAGTGATTAGGGCACTCCCCTGGGATGTGGGACCCAGGTTCAAGTCCATACTCTGTTTAATTTGAACCCTAGTCTCCCACATGTGTGCCTAGTAACGAGTATGTGTTGTGTCTTTCTCTATTAGCAGTGCTTAATGTGGTCTGAAAAACAGGCCAAGGGGTCTATCATCACCCACATCTGCCTGTCTAGCGATTATTTCTGCCCCCACATTAGGTTTTCTGCCCCGGCCTCACCTCTGGAGCTCCTGAAGTTCTCTCCCAGGTCTGGGCCAGCTGCAGCAAGGTCCCCTCTCCCAATTTCAGGCCAGGGGTTGCAGGAAACAGAGGAGATATCTGTTTGCTCACAGGAGGGAGCAGAGCTGTCCTGAGCTTTTGGGCTCTTTCCGTCTCCACGCTCTCCAAGGAGAATGACATTGGCTCCTGAGGGGAGGGAGGGAGTTCTGCCTGCTTTCTGCAGCAGCTCTGATTGGCTGCTCTTCTCCAGCAGCTGGGCAAGTGGGAAAAGCAGTCAATCAGAAAGGGTTTTCCCCCTATGCAATACAAAAAATGTATTGCAAGTGAGCCCCTCAGTGACCTGGCTCAATTTTATCTCCCGGGTCTGTGACTCATTGCGTCCCAGTGCACTCGAAGCACTGCTTGGTGGGTATGTTGCGGTGGGTCTTTCTCGCTCTCTC